TTCTTCTTCTTCTTCTGGTGTCAGGTCTGGAGCAGACATTGACGATCATGGCTCCCTATTCCTTCATGTTGTCTGTCTTCTTGATCATCTCGGTTGTTATCTTTGAGTTATTGATTTCAAAGTTGTTTAGGCCATCTGAGTATGTTGTTCTTTGTCTTCCCTTGCTTTTCTTTCTCTCTATCTTTCCACACAGAAACAGTTTCTTTACTCTATTTTATTATTCATGTGGCTACCTAATCTCAATTGTCTTTTTCTGATGGTTCTGATTATTATTGATCTTTCACATCCTGCCTTTGGAGCACTTCTCTATTTGTTTTCCTCTCTGTCCAAGAGATTCTGAGTATCAAAATTTTCCTTAAATACGACATTTCGGCGGCCTCTAGTCGTCTCTCCGTGTCCTTGTTTAGAGTCCAGCTGTCGCGTCTGCACAAGAGGATTGACGACATTACGCTTTTCAACACTAAAGTACCGCTATTGTCCATCAGTGAGTTTATGTATAGTCAAACAAACAAACAAAACGATTCTCTATCTATATGGTTTCAGGTTCAAATCCTATTCTCAGTGACTCAGCCAAAGTGCCCCACCTGTTGACCTTCCTTCCAGAATGACGTTCGTCAAACAACCGGATGCAGGTGGCGACACCATGACGTTACTAAAGGTAGACAACTCTCTGTATCCCCCGTTCTCTGCTGACGTCATCAACGGGCTGACCTCCCTAGAGATACGTGAGGACGACATAATAATCTGCGCATATCCCAAAGCAGGTAGGACGTCAGAGTAGTTTAATTGAAGACACGACACGGTTAAGTCACATTTTCGTAAAAATAGAGTTCTGCATATCATTCGCAAGCGGCGACAATGGGCTATCTATACTATTAAAAGCACTGACGAAGCGCTATTCTGTTCCTACTCCCAGTTATTCTTGTTGAAAGATGCAAAGGCTAAATGCAACAACAAGGATAAGTAAAGTAATTATTCTATTTAAGCCCTCTAATCGGAACTTGCCTGAATGTATTTGACGAATGAGGTTTTTGCTCATTTCCTCGATATCATCCAAGTGTGACTTGACCTTGGTGTTGTTTTCTTGTCTTCAATTGTGGTGTATACTTCATCGTCCCCATCAACGCAGTTTGGGTCAGGTAGGAGGCGGACTGAAGCGTACATTGCGTTAACGCATTGAAACGAAAATACTGCTTGAAGCGAAAAGTCCGGGTTCGAGCCTCGGTTCGGACACGGATTT